GAAAGTACACCTGGACTATAGAAAGTACACCTGGACTATAGAAAGTATACTTGGATTATAGAAAGTACACCTGGACTATAGAAACCTGGACATGTCATTCTGTGTCTGTTTCTACTTCCTGTCCTCTCAGACCCAGCGGTTGAAGCAGACGTTCGCTCGTCCTGAGCTGGTTCTGGAGGTTTCTTCTGTTAAAGGGAGTTTTTCTTCCCACTGTCTCCTCTGTTCTTGCTCAGGATGAGAGACTGTGATGAAGAGAAGATTCAACACAACCTGCTGCCTCCTCAGATGCAGAACTTTTACTGATGGACTTTGTGTGAATGTTTCTGTTCAGAGACCTGAGACGACGTCTGCTGGGACTTGGAGCTACTGAAATAAACTGACCTGAAACAGTTCTGGGTTCAGATTAGACCAAAGTCCAGGTCTCTGACATCAACTGGACCAGACATGTTTAGAAGAAAAGACCCTACACTCCTACGCTGATTGACTGACAGGTGTCTCCATCACTCACAGGTTTTCCGTAGGAGTCGTGAACCGGTGAGATGATTCCTCCAATCACGATGAATCGTCCAGTTTTGTGCAGATACTCTCTGGCTTTGTCTGCAGGAAGAAAAAGGTAAACAAAAACAAGTAAACAAAACAGCAGCAGGAGGACCAAGGACTCAGAATGTGGCTTTCATTTTAATGCAGAGAAGTTTGATCAAATCGTCTCGTGTGTTTTGTGGTCTTGGATCTGGACCGTGTTCCTCGGGGCACAGTGGGGGGGGGGGGGGGGGTGCACTGCATGTGTGATTTATTCATTCAACCTTTATTTAGACAGGTTAATCCCATTGAGACTCATTTACAAGAGAGACCTGAAAGACCGGGGCCCCCGTTGTTACGGGCTGTTCAGTCTCTTTGCAAACGGTGCCAGAGTTTGGATCTCATTAAGTTGGACCCTTCAGGTCTGCACGTTGTCAATGATTCTGTTCAGAACTTTTATGGACAGAACTTCTTGGTTCAGGAGGTGGCGGGAGTCCGGTTCAGTGGCATCAGGATTCATCTCTGCTCTTTGCAGATGATGTGGTCCTGTTGGCGTCATCGTGCCGTGATCTTCAGCTCTCACTGGAGCAGTTCACAGCTGAGTGTGAAGCAGCTGGGAGGAGAACCAGCACCTCCAGATCTGAGACCATGATCCTCAGTCAGAGGTGTATTGTTCTCTTGAGGTCCAGGGTGAGGTTCTGCCTCAAGTGGAGGAGTTCAAGTATCTCTGGGTTTTGTTCTCAGTGATGGAAGAATGGAGCGTGAGATTGACAGATGGATTGGTGCAGTGTCTGCAGTATTGTGGACTCTGTACCGGTCCGTTGTGGTGAAGAGGAGCTGAGCTGTAAGACAAAGCTCTCTGTTTACTGGTCGGTCTACGTTCCTCCCCTCACCTCTGGTCATGAACTCTGGTAGAGACTGAAAGAATGAGATCGTGGATCCAGGAGGTTGAAGTGAGTTTCCTCTGCAGAGCTGGACTCTCCCTCAGAGACAGGGGGAGAAGTTCAGTCATCAGGAGAGACTCGGAGGAGAACCACTGCTCCTCCACATCCAGAGGAGCCAGTTGAGGAGGTTCATCTGGTAAGGATGCTCCCTGTGGAGGTGCTTCAAGCATGTCTGACTGGGAGGAGACCCCAGGGAAGACCCAGAACAAGTCTCTCGGTTGGCCTGGGGACACTCTGGAGTCCTCCTGAAGAGGCGTCTTCGGACCGGCTGTCTGGACCTCCTGATCTGAAGCTGCCCTGAGTCCAGAACCAGAACCAGACCCTGAGGACGGATTTAAGTTGTAATAAATAAAATAATGTTTAAATCTTCACAGAACTCTGTTTGAAATGTTTCAGTTCATTTCTTTTTATTTGACAGTTTTTATTATTTATGGTTTTGAATTTTGATGAATTAGTTTTTTAAATAAAATTAATTCATTAAAAACAATCTGGACCCACTTCGGGCCATGTGGTGGTCCGGTTTGCTTTGTTATGACGCAGAACCCTGAGGAGGTTCGGTTCTGGTGGATCACATGTTCGGGTCCCAGCAGAACCCCCCCGGTACCGGAGCAGGGGGCTCGGTTCTGATTTCTGCGCTGCGCCACGAGGCCTTCATTACGGGTCTTTACCGGGCCAGAACCGATACCGGCTGTGTTAACCCGTGTTATCCTGTGACCTGATTATGTTTTGTGTCGGAACCGCCCTTGTGGATCCGAACCCTGAGCAACAAACCGAACCTCATCCAGTATTTCTCCTGTTTTACCTCCTGGTTCTGATCCACTTCTCTGTGGGTTCTGACAGCAGGGTGTGGGAGAACCCTGAGGAGGTTCCGGACCCTCCTGGGTCCTGCAGGCCCACAGGCCTCCCCCCCCCCCCCGCCCCTCGAACCTCACCGAACATGTGGAGGTGTCCTCTGGTGATGGGGTTGAAGCTGCCGCAGGACAGCAGGATCACGTGCGTCTTGCTGCTCTCCGTCATGGTGGCCCGGTCCGCTTCGGCTCGGTTCGGTTCTGAAGAAGCAGGTCGTCAGGACGGAAGATGCTGCGGAGACTGAGGAGGAGAGGCTGATGCTCTGCAGGAGGAGGAGGAGGAGGAGGAGGATTTAAAGAGACAGACACAGAGAGGACAGGAGGACAAATGGTAAATGGAGTGCACCTATACAGCTCCTTTCTGTCTTATTTCAAGACACTCAAAGCTCTTTACAACAATCTGTGTCCTTCATCCAGCCTCTACTACAAAGATGATTCTAAAGAGACTCATCAGAGCTTCATCACATCCAGACACTGATGGACACACCAGAGGCTGTGAGGGGTTCAGTGTCTTGCCCAGGGACACTTCAGCATGTGACTGCTGGTGGATTTGAACCCCCAGCTCTTGCATTGGAGGACGACTGCTCTAACCACTGAGCCACAGGCCCCAAGAGGAGGCCAGGAGGAGGAGGAGGATTTAAAAAGACAGGCGCTGAGAGGAGACAGGAGGAGGACAGTCATGTTTGGCTCCTTGAAGGTCTCACGTATTCTGACTCCATCACTCCTGATGAAACGGTCCTGATCCAGACCTGATCCGGTCTTCAGTTCTTTTCCTTGTGGTGGTCCAGAGTTCTCTGCTGATTTGGGTCAATAGTTTGTTTCTTTGACCTCTGACCTTTGACCTCTGACAAAAAGCCTCGTGAGCTCAGAGGATGATCCAAAAAGTAACAACTTCAAGTTTATATTTGAGTCCCTTTGGTCCCAGCAGCGCCTGGTTCTGTGGGGCTGCCGGGACCAAAGGGACTCAAATATAAACTTGAAGTCCATGAAACCAGCAAAGGTCCAGTCTGTCTGGAACCAGGATTTCAGGACAGAAACTGGATTTTAGCTCCAACATTTGATTAAAAGAGCTGAAACCTTCAGCTGAAGATCAGCCGAAGGATGTCAAGTGAACATCTGTTCATTCGGCTGTTTATCTGATGTTTTTTTTCTACCTTTATTTATTTTATTCACGTTAATGTGACATGCTGTTTTTTTATTTGAATAAACCTGTTAATATGTCTTTATTAAATAAATAAACAGGACTTTATCTTTAAGACAGGACTGATCCAACAAGAGTCAGAAATCAGAACCTCTGTGTTCTGAGCTCCAACCAGCCGGAGGCGGAAGTGGAGAGAAACAATAAACCGTAGAAGAAGAAGTAGCGCAGCAGCTAGCCGGGGAAGCTAACGTCTTGTTCTGGGTTAAGTTCGGAGTAAAAATGTCTTCATCGCTCGAAACTCTTCCAAAGTTTGAAGAAACCGAACCGAACCGACGGCTGGGCTTCAGCTGGAGACCGGAAGTGCTCTGTAAAACGGCAGGTACTGAACTTTGATCTGGTTCTGGTGGACGGAGGTTCGGAAAGAATGGGTCCATAAACCCGATCAGTTTTTAAAACATTTGAACAAACTCCGTTAAATAAAGATGTAAAGGTTCAGGTTTCTAGATGTTCTGGATTCATAAAAACAACATTAGTCTGTTTTCTTTTATAAATATGATAATTTATAATAAAATATGTTGAAAGACAAAGTTATTATTTGTTGCCAACCTGTACATGGAGGAGGTAGAAAAGAGAGCCTTGACGTCCTTTTCAGGGACACCACCAAGTCATTGGTTCAGGTATGTTGACGACACCTGGGTTAAAATTAAATCTCAGGAAGTCCAACATTTTACTGACCACATCAACTCTGTGGATAAATACATCAAGTTCACACGAGAAGATGTAAAAAATGGCAGGTTGGCTTTCTTGGACTGTGAGGTCTCAGTCTCTGATAGAGGACATTTGCAAACTGAGGTGTACCGCAAACCCACCCACACAGACCAGTATTTGCAGTTTGACTCCCATCACCCTTTGGAGCACAAGTTAGGAGTCATCAGGACTCTGTACCACAGAGCAGACAGCGTCCCCACTAGCTCAGGAGCCAGGCAGAAGGAGAAATCCCACACAAGACAGGCTCTAGAGCAATGTGGATATCCTAACTGGGCCTTCCTGAAAGCAGAGAAGAAACCCAAACAGGACTCCAGTCAGCCAACAGGTGAAAAGGAGGAACCCAGACCCAGACCAGTGGTCATTCCAGATGTTGAGGGAGTATCAGAGAAACTGAGACGTTTATTTTCTAAACATAACGTCCCAGTGGATTTGTAGTGGTGGTGTCCCTGAAAAGGAAGTCTTGGCCTCCTCCTTCATCATGTGAACAGATAGTTCTGGATGTCCAAGTGTCGATTCTTTATCTCACATCTGGAGCTGAATGCGACCGGATGATCAGAACTTTGTTTTTACTGCAGATAAAAAGTTCAGCTGCCGTCGTTTATCAAAGCAACTCGTTGAAGCTGTCAGCACTGAGGCTCGTTTAATTAGCTTGAAATGCTACGTCAAAAGCTCAGCTCCAGTGCTTTATTGTGAAGGTTTGCAGGAAGTAGTGTCTCTGCTCTAACTGATGATGACGTTAAGCAGTTTGTGCTGAAAACTACAGACAGAAATCTGAGCAGACTTCAACAACGTCCACAGCTAAATTAATCGTTAAATTTCACCGGATGAACTCTGAGGTCAACGAGCAGCTGGCGCTCACAGAGACTCGGGAGATGACCTTTATAAACCTCCCTGTGCACGCTGAAAACCCAAACTGCAGCCACACTTCAGAATTTCTGTTCTTAAGAAGCTGAAGCATCCTCGGAGGACTTTAACTTCCTCCTGCCTGCGTCCGCCGGACGACGAGTTTAGAAGATGCCGTAGTTCAGTTTTAATGGTTCATTTTGCTACAGTAACTTTCAGAAAACTTTCAGGGACCTTTAAACCAGTTTGGTTCCCAGATTCAGTTTCCTTTTTCTTTCAGATCCACAAATGTTTTAATTTTAGAAACTCCTGTTTGCATTTTAGTGATTTATTTTGGACTTCAGGAGGAAAAGTCCAAACTGAGGAGGAAGTCTGAGCACGAAAACACGAGTGATTTTTCTTATTATTCACAACATTAGTGACAGTTTTCTGTTGGTTCCTGTTTCTGCAGACCTTCCTCAGCAGCACGTCTGTAAGGAGGAGCATCTCTGTGACCCAGACAGGAGTCAGAGTCTGGACCTGGAGCCTCCGCAGGTTAAAGAAGAACCAGAGGAACTCTGCAGCCAGGAGGAAGAGCAGCTCATCATGTTCCAGGAGACTGAGACTTTTACTCATAAAGAAACTGACCCGAGGGAACCAGAACCTAACCGGACCCTTTCTTACAGCATTTTTGCATCTGAGAACCAAAACCCAGGAGGAAGAAACCCTTTAAACAGATCAATAAGAAACTCAGACCTGAAGCCAAAGAAAAGTTGCAAAGGTTTAAGACTTCAAGTCAACGGTAAAACCTTAAAAGAGCAGAGAGACAGGAAGCCGTACGCCTGCAGCACCTGTGGGAAAATCTTAAACACTACTCAGTCTTTAAATAATCACCATAAAATCCACAGCGGAGAGAAGCCGTTCTCCTGTAGAATGTGTGGGAAAAGCTTCCGCCACAGTAAAACTTTAACGCGCCACCTGAGAACGCACACAGAGGAGAGACCGTACTCCTGCCAGACGTGTGGGAAAGGCTTTAAATGTACGGAAAGCCTGCTGGTCCATGCCAGGACTCACACGGGCGAGAAGCCATTTTCTTGTGAGATGTGTGGAAGAAGCTACACCCTGAACGGCAGTTTGACCATCCACATGAGGAGCCACACCGGAGAAAAACTGTTCTCCTGTCAGATCTGTGGGAAAATCTTCACCCAGAATGGAAACCTGATGGTCCACATGAGAACGCACACAGCTGAGAGGCCGTTCCGCTGCCACACTTGTGGGAAAAGCTTCACTCAAAGTGATCATTTAACTGTTCACATGAGAACACACACAGGTGAGAAGCCCTACCTGTGTTTCACCTGCGGGAAAAGATTCACTGACTCCTCGGCCTTTAAGAGACATCTAGCCGTCCACTCAGCTGAAAAGTTATATTCCTGTCAAACTTGTGGGAAAAGTTTCATCACGAACAGCCGTCTGACGGCCCATGTGAGGACTCACACAGGAGAGAAGCCGTACACGTGTCAGACATGTGGAAAGAGTTTCACAGAGAGAGGAACTTTAACTTCCCATGTCAGAGCGCACACAGGCGAGACACCTTACACCTGCAGCATCTGTGAGAAAAGATACAAGGACGCCTCAGCTCTGAGGAAACACAGGAAGTCCCATTCACGCGTCAATTGAGTCCCAGCGGAGAAACGATGAGCAGAAAACTGTTTCTCATAAAATGTCATACATTTTGTTTTTCTGTATCTGCTCACACAGATCCAAATAAATATTCATGAAGCAGCTGTTAGCTCCATAAACCTGCAGAGTTTAAAGCTTCAAATGTTTTTATTTGTTTTTTTTCTCTTGACCAAAAATAAGTCTGTTTCAAGTTCAGGTTGTCCCTCAGACACTGGGACGAGTGACAAACAAAATCTGCTGAACTAAAGGAATAGTTCGAACATTTTGAAGTGGGGTTATGTGGAAAAGTTTGGATGTGTTAATATCTTACCTGTTGTAGATAAATTGAATTCTCGCTGTATCTTGGTACAATGATAATAAAGCTCATTCTGGTTCTGAACGACTTCAGTTTGGAGCAGAACTAAGAGCTACTCTGAGAGAAACCAGAACTTTCATGTGAGCATGAGTTTATGAACACATTACATGGGTTATTTAGCAGCAGCAGCTAGCTGTAGCAGGAATACTTTCAGAAGGTTTATAAAAAAAATGTTAGCAGCTGTTGTGGCTCTGCTCAGACTAACCATTAAATCTTCAGCTAGGTCAGAATTAAACTGAGCTCAGAGAGTGATCCACTGCAGGTAAGATATTCTTTGTTCAGAACCCCACTTCATAAGATCTGAAGTCTCCCTCTGAATGGACTCATCTGGTTCTGGTTTTTCTTGACGTGAGGATCTCCAACAGGAGACATGGTGTCTGTTCACCGTTACACTGACGACACTCGGCTCTATGTTGGTGTGTCTCCTCGTGACTCTGGACACATCGACACATTTCTTAACTGTATGGTGGATTTTAAATCCTGAATGTTACAGAACTTTCTACATCTTCACCAGGACAGAACAGACGTATGTAGAGAAAATAATCTCAAACGTAGTCACACAAGTGTACAAGATCCACCAAAGTTTTTCAAATGAACACATTTTAAATCACACAAGAATTTTCTGAGCATACAAATGGTCAAATACATGTGCTCAAATCACCTGCTGTGGTCGGATCAGCTTGCTTGAGAACGTGACTTTTGAGACTTTCTTACTTTCAGAGGTAATGCTGCGTTCAAGGCTGCTGAAAAGGTGGGACATCTGAACCTCACCATATCTAGCAACAGTGAAGCGCTCTGGATTAAAAGTGTCCAAAGAGGCATGAAGTCTGGGTGTCTGTCATATTTGAATTCATTTCAAATCACAACAATCACAGCTTTTTAACATTTACACGACAGAGACTTTATAACCAGCAGGTTGGATGACTGATCCTCCAAAGAGTCCAATAAATCAGCTCCAACTGATCCAGTTCTGACAAAGACCAGCAGCAGAGCTTACATCTGTCCACTTGTAAACTTCTTACAGTTTATTTACCGTACTTTCCGCCGTATAAGTCGCATCAGTCCAAATATATCTAATGTGGAAAAAAAACATATGACCGCTGACGTGTTGCGTTTATTACGCGTCGCCGCTGACGTGTTGCGT